CGTTCACCAGTTTGTTCAATGTTGTCCGCAGATTTGTAAGCTGAGAGCATACAAGCAGCAAACAAAATTATGGAAACAAAATTATCGATCGCGTAATTAGCGAGAACCGAATATAAAATCTCGAAAAGTGAATAACGTAGGTAATTTCGTAGTTTGGACTCTTTTCAATGTTTTCTAATTGCTAGACGAGGGTCCGTCGAGGCTAGTGTTGTAGTTTTAAAAAATCTCAACAAATGAAAAAAAATTGAAAATATCAAGTCCACTATGGACACAACATCTAAGAGACAAGTTTCTGCCACGTCTTTCAACAGTATTTCGTTCTCAGTTAATCGAAGTCATCCAATCAGTCATAATCGACACTATCAGCGGCTGAAGTGCTTCCAAAATGAATATCAATACGAATAATGAAATTATTTAAACAAGTTAAGTAATCTTTTAGTGCGACTTCGACTAAACTCTAATTAATTTAATTGTCAGTTATTTGTCTTGTTCGGAAGATTTGATTAAAACTAAATTTCTAACATACAGTTTTTGTATTCTAAATCTTTTTTAGACATAATTCTATTAATTAATTTAATGATTTTAATAAACAATTATTTAACTTTTATTAAGACTGTGTATGTGAATACACAATAAGTAAGAGTTTAAAGCTAACGATCAAAATTGGATCTTAGATGCTTAAATAATTTCTATGTGAATTTATTCTTCTTAATAATGTCATTAACTCTTTCAAGCGTGAAATTCTTTTACTGTTTTTTTTTTTTTTTTTTTTTTTTGGAAAAATGAGAGATATAGTATCTTGTTATTTTTTAAAAGAATTTTAGGAATGACTGAATACAAAAATGAGATTGAAAAATTTACGAATAAAAATATCGGATCCAAAAAATAAGATATATTAAATTAATTTTTGTTTGATGTTGAAAGGAAATTAATAAAAAGACAAATATAATCAAACATGAAATATGTAAAAATTTAAAAATGTGACAGTTTGAAATATATTAATAATATCTATTATAATTTGTTATATGGTTAAGTTTGTTATATGGTTAAGTTAATCGGAGTTGCATTCAGATACTAAATAAGTCTGTCTTTTACTTCAAATTATATACACATGCATATTGTCTAAGATTCTATATATATAGAACATTATCTGGGCATTTTGTATTTACATAAAGTGAATATATTATTAACATATTAAGAACAGTAAAATAATCTATTCGACATTCACATTGTCGCGTGAAGTAAACTTTTCCCGTAACAATCCAAGTACCAAGTAACAATCAATTTGAACATTGCCATCAAACTAGAATTCGCGGAGACAAAATTTTCAACCATTCGACTCACATTACTCCAAGCATGGATCATATTTATCATTTGCGGCGCGGATACGTTCAGATTTATATTACATATGATGATAATAAATCATATATTTGGTCAACGAAAGTCACTCAAAGACATATGTGGATCGGGCCATATGCCAAATGACGAGGATAAACATATAATTTAAATCTATAAAATGAAATGTTTGCAAAGATATTGTTGGTTGATTTAGAATATACATAAATTTATTATTTTATTTCCAAATTTTGTTTCTCATTTATTAGAAATAATTATCTCAATGTAGTTAGTAGTGAATATAAAAATTACTTATTTTTTTATTTTCAATTATTATATTGTAGCACTTATGAAACATTTTACTTCATTTATATAATTTCTTATATAATTTAATACCTCTTATAGATTACACTAAATAAAATTTAATATTTGATTCGAAAATTAGACTATGATATTCTTATATATATTTTAATCGAATCCGATGTTAAAATCCTTTTATCATAATTTTTTTTATTGACGGAAAATAGTTCAATTTTGCGATTTTTATATATTAAAAAAAAATTGATTTTTAATATACAAATTAATATAAAAGAAAAAAAGTAATTCAATGATAAAGCAATTCAATTATAAAGTTAATATGCAAGCTGATAGACTAAAAATACTGAAAATTCAAGTTATTTTCTACCGACAGAAAAAAATTGTCTGTGAAGTAATTTGAATATCCGGTTTCCAAACATCAAAGTTCACATAAAAATACCAATGTCTAATTTCTGGATTAAAACAATTTTGTCGCGTCTATGTTCTTATAGAACATAGCTATGTTCTTATAGAACAAAGCCAAAACTTCTCTATGTTTGTGTACATAATGCATAAAATGCGAATTAAATTAATTGATAAATAATGAATAATGTATATGTAATTCTATTAAAACAAAGCTAAAAATATTTTTTGATGACAATGCTTCTCTTCAATATCACACTGTTTTTATATACACAATTATGTTATCAAGTTTCAAATCTTGCTTCATGATTTTTTTTTTACAAAATTTACCTTCCCTTATTGTAATTATCCTTGGATTTTCAAGTTGTTAAAGCTTTGGAGAATTTCTCTTTATAAACTCTCTCACTGGAGATAAAAAGCAATTTGTGCACAACTGACTTTTTTTATGTAACTTGATTTCAATCAGCTTTGCAATATAAAAACACTGTATAGCTGCACGAAAATTTCTTGTCGAAAACGAAACATTTTTTGCTAGTATACAGAACTTTATGTCCATTCTCGCAAACTTTCGTAAATCAAAGTTTTAACTTTTTTATAAGAGATCTATAGACTCTTTGCAAAAAAATTGTAATGTTTGCTATTTTTCGTAATAATTAAAACAATTTCTCTTTTTGATTTAACAAATCCTTGATTTTGAAAATATATTATTACACGTTTATGTTTTTAATAAAACTACGCGGTGCATACATTTTTTATTATTTTGTTTTTATTATTTTCAAGATATTCTATATTTTCGTTAGTATTCATTGATGTTCACAGTGCAAAAATTATTGTTTGACTGAATCGCTCTCTGCGATTATATTAAATCACCATGACTTTGTGCTTATTCAGTATGCAAAGGACCGCTACTATCTGTGTGAATATTTATACAAACTTTTTAGAACGATCAATAATAACACGATTAGCATGTAATTATATTTTTTATTAAAGAATCGAATTACAAATATTGCTATTTTAAATATGGCATTATTTAAAAGATTAAGTCGCTAGAAAATAATAAATAAATATTTTATTTTTGTTGCACAAAAATAGATATGATATGTTTACGAACAAGAATTATATTATAGATATGTATATAATGGTACATACATAAATTTAAAAAAGAAATCATTTAATATACAATATACTGGATGAATTTGGTAATACAATATATAAGGTTCTGATAAAAAGTTAATCACATTTTTTTTGAAAACTATTAGAGATAAGGGGAAAGAATCATCTATTATCAAAATTGTAGGATAAGGAAATATATTTTGATAATCTTGAGTAATCTTAAATGTCCTTAGTGTTTGTACTAATAATAAAAAAGTTTTTTTTTTTATGAAAAAAAGTATTTTTTAGTCATTCTATTGATAGTACTAAATGAGGAGAAACTCTTCATATTAAAATTTCTTCAAAAACTCTATTGTTTTCGGAATAAACTATTAGTATCGATAGTATTAATAGAATGACTGAGAAAAACTACCCTTTTCCATTAAAAATAAATCTTTTTATTGATAGTAAAAAAATCAAGGACATTTAGGATTATTCAAAATCGTGAAAATATATATAATTTCTCTATTTACCTTACAATTTTGATATTAGGTGTTTCCTCCTTT